TCAACATCAAGAAGAACAAAAAAAGATACAGAATGTTCCAGAATCGCCTGATACTACTTCTACCGTTGTATCTGCGGTTTCTTCTCCCCATAATTATGATTTACTATCAAGATCCACTTCTAGAAAATCTTCCACGACAAATCTTCAACTTCCTAAAAAAAGGCCATTAGAACCAACTTGGTCCGAAGAAGAATAATTAATTACTTTGTATTATTATTATTAATAAATGTAAATTTTAATTATAAATTGACAAGATTCACCAAATTAGTAATGATAAACGAAGTTCTCACCTTAATTTCTATATTAAGTAAACTCATTATTTGATTATTTGTTTTTTAAAGTCAGTTATCATATGATCGATTTCTTTTTTTGGACCAGCAAATTTCACGTGATACCATCAAAATTATTTCATGAAAAAAAAAAATAACACTTTGAGATCGCGAGTCAAATATATAACGTTGAAAAATAGATTTTAAAACATCATGTCTCAACCATTGACGAGTATGTTGGTGGAGAGGTAATTTCTTTCATTCTTAATTAATCATTCATTATTATGTTTGCGTAAGCTAAAACATATAAGTTTCTCTAGTCAAGCGTTGTACCTAGATCCAGGTAACATCATTTGTTCCTTTAGAACAAATTCTTTTCCAAGAGTTCATTTCGCTAATCTTCTATTTTTCTTTTACATTAGCAATTCGAGATTGGGTATTAATACCAATTATGGTAGTTATGGTATTAGTGGGGATCTTTAGAGATCAAGTAACGTTATTAATAGGAAGTACAAGTGGTAAAAAGGCTGGAATTAAAGCTATAAGAGAAACAAAGGCGTTAACCCGAGGAGTCACGTTAAGGAATTATGGAAACAATATACCAAGTTCATCATTTCTCATAAGAAAGAATTATCTTTGTTCATCATATAAAAAGGGTGATTTCTTAAAAAATCCCGCATCGGCTAATCAAGTAGTTAATCCAATGACGGATCCCGCTGGTATGGAAATGATGATGGAAGGAATGAAAAAAAATTTCGCCATGATTATACCTCAAACCGTTATTATGGGATGGATTAATTTCTTTTTTTCTGGTTTTGTTTTAAGTAGGTTCTTTTTTATAATTATTCCTTTTTGATTCTTTAATATTTTTTTTTTTTTTAAAAAAATGTGTATATATATATATATATTTTTTTTTCAGTCAAATTACCTTTTCCACTTACACTTCGATTTAAAACAATGTTGCAACGAGGTGTCGAAACTCCCGATATGGATGTAACTTGGGTATCATCATTATCATGGTATTTCTTAAATTTATTTGGGTTGAGAAGCATTTTCACTTTACTATTAGGCGAAGATAATGCTGCTGATGGTATGCGTGATATGGCTGCCATGTCTCAAATGGGCGCGGCTTCTCCTGGTCAACCACAAGATTTTAATAAGCTCTTTTTGGCTGAAAGTGAAAATCTTGAATTAACACCCCATAATTGGGAATTAGATGATATTGAAGTGAGGTTATTAGTTAAATATGGTAAAAGAGAATTAGTTGATAATAAGGATATTATTGAAATGGAAGATATTTCTCCTATTTCTTCTAATGATTTATCAGATGTTAAAGGAAAAAGTAAAAAGAAAAGGACGTGATAAATAAGCAAAATTTTAGAATATCTTTTTTTTATTATCTTTTAAAAATAATCTATAGTAATAAATTAAAATTTATATCTTAGTCTATATATACTATCGGTACATTATATTTTCGTTTCTATCATTTTATTGAGGGTTAAAACGGTACTCAATATCATCACTGCAATCCCAAATCCAACACATATTACCGCTGGTAACTTTTTTCTACTCCACCAATTTCCGGATGATAGTTTAAGGTAACATGCGGGGGGTAAAATATAAGCTAAAGCTGTTGCCGAACACCCACCTGTCAACTCTAATACAATACCCAAATCGTTGGTCAATAATGACACCATCATTGCGCCCATAACAAATATCGTGGTTAAGATCACGTGACGTTTCAATGAAAATGATGCATTTGGAAAATAATAGATTTCAATCGACTGGATTCAAAAAAGTATTATTATTTTTATTTATTTTAATAATTAGTTTCAAATGTTGTGCTTAAAAATACATAAACAAATATACATTTAATGTACGTACCTCTCTACAAACAAAGGCTTCCAATGGTAAAGTTGTAAACATATTGAATCCAAAACAGAACCTTGCTATATTTATAATAACATTATCTTCTGGAAAATTATTCAAAATATTTCCTAAAAGAAAGATAGAAAAAGTGTAAGCTAAAAAAAAAGTGCGAATAATTTTCAATGACTTCAATTAGAAATATATAAAGGGAACCTTCTGTTTTGTCGGTAAACGCCAAATATCCAACTATAGCTACCAATAAACATGCTAGCATTGATATTCCCGTGGATAAATGAGTAACTGCAGCAAATCGTTTCAGCGTGGGTTTACGCAGCGAATCAAAGATCAATAGGCTGTTGTGATGACAAACGAAAGCTATATATATATAGCAATATTATTTTAAAAGAAGGAAAAAAATTTTTTTTCAATAAATGAGAACGGATGGTAAAGAACATACCAAAGCTAATTACGCCAATTGCCTAAGGAGTTAGTTTTATATTGTAAAAAGACAATATATAAATATATTAGCAAGCAAATCGCTTAACAAGTCCTAAAGTATTTTATAAATTCATACCTGAAACATTTCTGGATGTACAAAGTCCCAAGTTCCCTTATCACCGCCCTTGTATCGTGGATCAACACGAGGGGCCTCTATTACAACGGCCACTACAATAATGACCATTGATATTAAAGCTAACCCACTTGCTTTAGCCAGCTTTGAAATGTCTCGATAAAGTGATAACGGATATGATATGAAAATGGTACAGAAGATGATAACAAAATAACGATCCGTAAAAAGATTAAGGACCGGAATGTTTGATATATTAGGGAATAGTGATGTAATGACATGAGGAAGCGTATCGCCTAAATAATTACAAGTATTGTTTTTTCTTTTTCTCATTTTAATATGTACAAAATGAAATTTTGGCCAAATCCATCATATCATTAAAGATTATTTTATTTACCTATAACAACACAAAATGCACACATTCCTAAATAATAATAAATAATAATATTAATTTATTTTTAAGAAGCAATTTATAAAAAGATCCTTTCTCACCTCCAAAAGCAAACAATAATTGAAACGCGGAAATTATTATCAGTCCACTCTTTCCAAAGCAAAATTGCATAACTTCTTGGTAAGAATTTCGTCCCGATAATTTAGCGTTATAAACTAAAAGTCGTATCGTCCAATCTACAAGGTACGTGAGTCCTAACAAAAGAATGATACCAGCAAATATGCCGGACTCACGAAAAGAAAATGGCAAACCTATGATTCGAAAGTAGAGGAAAATAATCAAGTCCTTATGTTACGATTGCCTATAATATTATATATAACAAATATTGCAAAAGGCTCTTCCTACACTAATTACGCATCACACAGATAATTTGATCAGATACCAACCGATAATACCTATAAACATTGTTATGAAAACATTTAGAGGTATGTTGATAAGTAACGAATAAATATATTTTAATCTAAATTTCTTTTAAGCTTACCAGCTCCTATGATACTATTTGCCATATTTAAAAAACTTTCAAAGAAGGAGCCACCATCTTTTGGCATTCTTAAAGTATCACCATTATCTAAAACTAATACGCTGTTTGACTCTCCCGGAGTTGTTGAGTCAAACTCACGAGAAGCGTTAGATAACAAGGGAGCCAAATCACCAGAATTTGAACGTTCGTCAGTTTCCTCTTCAGGCGAATAATTCTCAAGGTTTGACCCATGAGAAGTCACTTGAAGAGATATAGACTCTTCGAATTCTTCATTATCAATTACAAAAGGTAAGATTTCTTGAAAAGAACTACGAGACATTACTATGCTAGACTCAAGTAGAAACCAAATGTGAAATAATGATCTATAAAAAAGGTAAAGAATTGTAAGAAAAAAATATCACAACCTTTCGGTTTTTGTTCAATTAAAAAAAAATTGTTTAAACCATTTAAGGCTTTCCCTAATTTCAATATTTTTGAGTACAGACTTGCATATAATCCAATCAAATAACACCATTTCTACATATAAAGAAAATTTTTCATCTTGTTAACCTCTAGTGGAAAAAAGGTATTTTTAGAATATGATATAAACTTGAAACCTCAATTAAATAATCAAAGAAGAATGTTTTTTTAATTAGTTCATAATGTAATTCGGGCTAGATACGGTTAGAGAATTCATATCTGGTTGGTATTTATTAAAAATTTAAAAGTTTGGACGTTTTCGATCATGTGACGATTATCAATATAAACATTCACTATAAAAATTATCGTGTCATTAATCTTTTTTCTGAAATAATGAACTCTAATGCAAACAAAATAAATCCTACGAAAATAACGGCAAAATTCAGATGGAATCTACTTCGTTCGATAATCCTATCATCATCTAATACTCAACATACAATGAATCCAACAAAAAAGCATCAAGAATTTATTTTATTTCCTCGGCGAAAAAGAGCCTTGACCAATAACGATGACATACCACAATTGGAAGAATGGTTCACTTATGATCTTTATGATCATGTGACCTTGGATGTTAGGTAATTAATATTCACGTCTTTTTTTTTTAAAAAGAATGGTATAATAAAATTTTTTCGAAATAGCCTTTTATATTATGTGATAGGATCAAAATTCCTAGAAAAATTGATATAAAAGCAACTTTTGCTACTGAATACTCTGGAATTTTGAATACGGGTAATTTATGTATTTGGCCATCAGAAGAAGTATTAGGTTATTATTGTATGAAAAATCCCAATTTATTTAGGTAAATTAGTTTTTTTGATTTTTTTAAATAAATAATTTTTTATTCCGATAAATATTTTAATCCAATTTTAAAAATAAAAAAAAAAGAAATAAAAATGTGTGCGAATTAGGTGGTGGAATGTGTGCACTGGCTGGTTTGATTGTAGCTGCGAAATGTCATCCGCAAAGCGTTACCCTAACAGATGGCAATCCTGATTGCATAAATAATATCCTTTTAAAAATGTTCTAACATTCAACCATTAATCATACATTTTTTTAATTATTCTTGACAATGTTATTATGTTACACATATCCAGACCATTTTGAATTCAAATAAGGAACTCTTCTCTGATGTGGATATGTGTTCCGTGCAGATGCTTTGGAATAAGAATACCGTATACGACATTCAGTATAATATTGTCATATGTGCTGACTGGTAATTATTTTGGCACAACTTTTCTATTCAATGGAAAGTGCTTCACAAAGTTTGTAATTATAGACCTTTTAATTTCTACAGTACTTTTGATAAAGAAACACATCCGCACCTTCTCCATGTTATACGTTCTATTCTAAAAAAATCAGACAAAAGCTTGTTTATTCTATGTGCACCTCGTCGAGGTGATAGTCTACAAGCATTTGTCACGTTATTAGAAACTACTGGTGAATTCCGCGTAGAATTGTTAGAAAAATATGATGAGATAGTATGGAAATCTCATGGGAAAAGTCTAAAAGAAGAACAAGGTTACTATAATACAGACTCTCATTATCCTCTAATTGTACGCGCTTCTTGGAACTTATAATTCCCTTCAAACTTTTTGATTCGTTTGAATTTTCAAAGATTTTAAATATTATCATCTTTGATGTAATGTTTTTCATGCAGGGCTGTCCACGGGGATTGATTATAATTAATAGTAAAAAAAAAAAATAATAATAATAAACGAAAGAATATATAGTAATAGTATTATAGTTCATCATCATATTCAATATCCTAAATAAATTTGCAAGATAAATATCAGATAAAAATAATTAATAAATAAACAATATAATATACGATATATATAATTCATACCTTTGGTTCTTTTGGTTCTTGATCTTCTTCGAATTGAAGTGAATCATCAACATGTGACAATATCATTGTTATAGAATTTTCATCTGTAATATTCAACGGCATAAAACTGACCATGTTGTAATCATCAATCTGCAAAAAGAAAGAAAAAACAATTATGTAAATTAGTTCACATAAAAAAAAAAAAAAAAATTTGAAATTATATATATTTATTTCTACAAACCAATTGTACAATTTTCTTATTCAATTCATGAAATTTTGGGTTCATTGAGGAATTTGCTTTATCCGTTAGTAATGAAGGGTCGGGATCAAAATATCTGAAGAAACATGAAGATAAGATATAATGATGAAAGAAATAGAACAAATATATGATGCAATAAATCTCGGAAATCTTACCTTTCTAGTTCCCTTCTTTTAACTTTACCCAAAAGATCCATTTTAGATAATACATTTATATGTGGTATTTCTAAACTAATCATCGCTGACATAGCACTTAATACCCCAGCAAAGAATTTCGAATTATCTTCAATAAACTGACTTTCCAACAAATACACCCCACAAATACGAAAATGCATTCGTTGTAAACAGTCACAAATTCGTCTCATAATTGGAAAGTGGGTATAAAGTTCAATCTGGCCTTTATAAATGAAGTACAAGGTAAGGTTTAAATGCAATATGATCCATTAATGTTATATGTGAATTAGGCCATACCTGGACAATCAATGATCAAATAATCATCATCATATTCTCCCAATTCTTCTTCCAACCAATCCATATTATTCAATAAGAATCTTTGGTGTAAAATAATTGCATTATAAATATTTATCGACGAAAAAGGAAATTTCCCTTATAATCGAAAATACTTACTCCAGACAATATATTAATCCTCCATTAGGGCCATATCGTAATTCTTCCATAACATCCTCTAAGGTAATTAGATCTCGAATATCTAAAATAGTGAGAAATCTTAGGAATTAATTAAAATTGAACTTCCTTTAGCATTTTGATAAATCAAAAGTTATACTAACCAATCGAAGGTTTATACTCGAATTTTTCAGCTGCTGGATCAAGGTTCATCAAATGTACAGAACGACCAATATTTTGACAATGAGTCATCATTGTAGCGCAATATGTGGACTACACGTCAAATTTTCCAAATGTAAGATTAAAGTCCCAAAAAAAGTTCAAAGTATTTTTTTTTTTTGTCTTACCTTTCCTGTCCCGGCAGGACCCATTACAAGTTGTACGAAACGTCCCCTATTATAAAACTAAAAGTTGTAGCCACTTATATGTAAACTAAAACTTGTTATTTAACTTATCTTACATTATGCGTCGTGAAGTGTCAAAAAAAAAAAATAAAAATAAAACTAAAGAGAATGGTGAACGGTAATCGGTTCAGCAATTAAATTTATGATTTATGTTGATCAGAAAAATTACCTTAATTTCGGCCAATGAATTACAACTCCACGATTTTTTTTTAGAGAACCGGTTCAATTCTCCATCTTACAGATCTGAAGATTGGTTTTTTTTTAGAAGTTACAATAGAAAGAATTTCTTTCCACGATTACTTACTTAGATTGGGGAACATGAAAATTACAAAATCTTTCATTTATTTCAAGTTTGCAATATCAAAAATACTTAGCGATCGTGATGTTAAAGGTTTATTTAAATCTCTTACAGCTCGCTGCATTAGTTTTGTTTTTTCCTTCTTTGCAAGGGTCAACATGGAAATTTTAATTCCATCACTCCATGATTATTTCATTAAATACAGAAAGTAAATTGTTGATTTTACAGATTTCAAAATGCCATTATGTTCAAAGTAAATAAGTAAAATGTTGACGAAAACTTTATTGGTATAAAATAAATTAAATAATTTAGTCATTAACCAAGCCGCTCAAAAAATAAAACCGGGTCGGACTAAAGTTCGCTATTAGCATATGCTAGTAACCAGATTGTCAGTACTAATCGCAAACCAAAAAAAATGGAGCTTCTCTACCAAGCAAAGTTCCCAGTTTATGCATGGAGAAAAACCTTTGGGTTTCTATATAACCTTTATTGTCATTTGCATTCATTTTTATTCCCCCTTTCATGCCCAAAGTATTCCTTCTTGGCGGTTTTGTACCCAGTTTCTATATTTCTGAGCGTTTGTAACTAGTTATCCTTTCTGGAGTTTGGTTAACCAGTTTCTTTTTGGTCGAAGTTCTCTGACTGAAAAGGGAGGGATGTAATCGGGACCTCCCAAAGAAATTTGTTTTTATTTACATACATGGGATGGGGTAACGGAAGGAAACAAAAGCAAAATGTGTTTACGAAAGACTGTGTTCACAGGGGAAAGGGAGAGGGAGAACGGAAGAAAAAAATTTTTTATTGAAAAACGAAAAGTATGTATATAGCTCTTGATCCAATTGGATTGATATGTCGGACCAATTGACATGCCTGACCCACAGTCTCTCGATTGATTCTATAGATATATTATTTTTTTTTTTGGCAGAATATATAAAAAGAACTGACAATATAAATATAAATTGTTAATATTATTAATTATTCGTTTACATAGGTAATTTAATTTTTCCAAGACGTCGGTTATGTAAATATCTTCCAACAAGATAAACAATAGCAAATAAAACACTTGCAATATAAATTACTCTAAATGTAATCATTAAACCATCCTCAGAAGTTGAAGGAATATATCTCGAAATGGGCTTTGTTTCAATCGTTGAAGCCAATCCATATCCATCTACTTTTAGAGTGCCAATCGTATTGACAAGAAGGGAATTATCTTCTTCCATTACGCTTATAATATTGTAATTTTCCTTCTGAAGATAACATTTAAGCGCGTCGATATCAACGTCAGTCATCGGAACAACATTTCCACTCTCGTCCAGTCGATCCGCTTTTCCAGTAATTCGAATTTTTGCTTTGAAGGGGATATCAATACTAACCTTATCAATTGTTGCCCCAAATTCAATTGCATTAAAAGGCGGAACGACAACTTGCTCTTTTATCCCATATGTAACTTCTTCTACTATACTTTCCCTATATACCTTTTCATAATTTGATCCGAATTGACGTTCAACCCCACGAGTGAAATCCGTGTTTAACCCTAACAGCTTGAAAATAGTTCCACTCAAACGAAATGAGGCACTCACTGCCTCGCTAACTCTATCGCCTAAGAATTCTGACTTCTTAATCTCCATAGCATAATTATTCACTTTCTTTTCGATCCTTTCAATGGTTGTTGTTATCGTTGCATTTGTTGGGTTCTTGATTGTAATATTACTAAGTAAAAGTTTGGTACGTTTTTTATACTGATCCAGTTTATCCTTTAAATCTGAAGGGTATGTAAACTCTGTCACTAATGCGTTCAATTTATAATTTGCAGGTTCAAATGACCAGCGTTGAAAAGGATTGTTCTCGTCGTTACTGGCTCCAATATATACCGAATTACCATTGCTATCTAAATTCCGATATTGAGACATCAAATGCTCAACATTAAATGTATTATTCTCAACCTTTGTAATTTCCCATTGTTGATAAGGGTTATTATCTTCCGGTATACTGGTATAAACTCTGTCGGTATTGCTGTCTAAATTCCTGCCAGAAATCATATGTACGATATTATACAGACTACCGTAAACTTTCCGAATGGTCCAGTATGAAGGTGATTGTCCGGCGTATATGTCATAATTCCCGTCGTCATTTAAGCTCCTATGAGTCCTCAAATGTACAATATTATAACTAACTCCCTCTACCAAAGTATAATCGTCAGAATCATTATTGACAATAACTCTGTTATTGGGAATTAAAGCACTATTCACCAAAACTGCGGAGAGCAGAGAAAAACTTAAGTAATAAAAACAAATCATGTTCATTAATAAATTGTTCTTTTTGGTGAAAGGTGAAGATTTTATATTGAACTTTCAAAATTCGTGTCTAAGATTCACCGCAGATGTTCCATAATACACGTCCTTTTTTGATATTATTCACATCGCCTTTTTTCTAAATATACACTTTGTGAAACGAAAAGTTAATTTATTTTAGTTCCTCTTACTAACAAATAAAAGATTTTCGTGGAATGAAAAATCTTTAATAAATTCATGATCGACATATACTTTTGGTAATATTATAATGAAAATGAGAGGGGTTACTATTAATCAATTTCAGGTATTTGGCTTTTTGTTTAATATTAGAATCTATCTATTAAAAAAAAAAGATTATTATGTTATCATCATTATTAATATTACGATTATTAATATTTCAATAATGCTTGAACTGAGTTCAATCTCATCAAATAATACATTATATATTTGTATAAAAGAATGCTTTCTTTTTTTATTTTTTGGTCAAAACTTCAACTAATACATTTCAGTTTCATTAATTTATTCAAAATGTTATTTTATAAATATATGAATTGTAGAAGAGAAATAATTTGATCTGATTAGAAAAAATAATGTATAGATTAACATAAATTTTTATATATAAAAATATATGTATGTAATTCTCTCAAAAATAAATCTTTCAAGTAGAATAAAAAAATATTTTGAAATAGTTTTATAAAGCAATGGTTAAAATAAAATTGATTAAAGAAGAAATTTTTACATTAAAAAAATGTATTATTTTTTAATTTATTTTCAATACATATTTTTTAAATTCATTATTTAGTATCAAGATTATTTTTTTAAGATTAGTATTTGTCTTAAGTTAATATTATAAAAAAAATAATACTTTTATTAG